GTCTTGTCTCCTCCCCTCGTCCATTTTGGTTCTGTTATCAAGTCCATCGAAGTTCTCCAATAAGACTTGAAGTGTAGGCATTACTGTGCTAAAACTTAAAATGCGCTCTGTCTTTGGTATTTGTGTGAAGCACCGTAGGGCATAGACTTGGTAGGGATATACTCTCTCTGCCCTCCTGTGGCTTAAAGTCTGAGATGCAGGAACGTAAACAAAAGAAATACAAGTTTAGCAAAAGTATAAAAGAAGGACGTGTGGAAGAGAGTGCCATAGACATTAAGAGGTGGTGAACTAAATACTCACAGGAGGTGGCTTTTGCATTGGCTCTTCAGGAAAAGTGAAGGCTCCTAAAGGAGAGCTTGCTGGGTGGCAGGAGATCGTAAGAGGTGTGATGGTGTGTGGACAAAGGACATCCTCGGGAAGCAAAAGGGGTGTTTGAAGGATGGTTCAGCAACTTTTGGAATGAGTACAGGAAAGAAGATACCAGGACCTAAACTTACATAGTGGGAAACTTCTGCTGCCGACACAGATGATACACTAAATGATGGACTGCCTGTCCAGAGGTTCTGAGTTTAGATTCCAGCTCTCACTCCATTCCTGGACATGTCACAACAGCCAAGTGGGTTGAGTGTGTCACTCATGAAATAGAAAAGGCACAATAGCATGGGAGAGTTAATATAATGACCAACAGATATTAAATGTTCCTCAGATGTCAAATTAGGACAGTCGGGGTTTAAGCCCAGGTGCTGAAAGAAGGTGAAACTGCACCTAGCTCAAGTCCAACTTTGTGCAGGAAAGCTTTCTGCCCCCACGATTTTCTAGGCACCAAATCCTATGAGAACACAAGAGTGTATTCTATGATTTTACCTGGTAAACATTTTCCAGAAGGCTCGGGGAGCATTGGCTTAGCTTTCCAGTGGAGCTGAGCTGCTGTCCTGTCACCCTAGCCACCGCTCCATCTCCAGAGTGGCACCATGCCCTGCAGACACCCAAGTTGGCAGTTTTCTACTTGAACTCTCGGATGACAGATGTGATAAGATTTGCGTTTTTAGATAGCAGCTGCATCTTTCTTCCGTTCCCTTTGCTTCCTTTCGACTCAGCAGTTTTCCTTTTTTGCGCCAGATAAATTGCTGTTAATTTAAATGTGCTGCAGATCCTTGCCATTTTCCGGCTGATTGCGTCTGAGTAATAGGAGGAAAATGCCTGCACGTTTGAATGTAAATAAATCTAAATGGGTCGGAAGCCAATGGTAAAGAAAGCACAGTGCTTCGCTGACCTGCAGCACCGCCCCCTCCCGCCCCCAGTCCTTCCTTTGAAGAGGTCGTTGAGCAGATCTGGAATCAGCAAGTAGCAGAGCCTGAGGTTCAGGGCACATCCGGGTTTCCTTCTCTGCTTTCAACTCTCCATCACATTTCTCATTCCGCACCTGCTGTATCCTTGTTCTTATTTGGCGCAGCTAATGTAAGCAGCAGTGGCAGTTTCTCTGGAGTTGTTTTTGATAAAGGAGCTGTTTTCACGATAACTACCATGCACCATCGGAATTCTGCAAATGCTTCAGAATGTCACATTGTCAAAATATCTATATTTCAGGCTCAGAAGCTAGACAGCTCGTTTGGCTGCTAAACCCACAAGATGTTCAGCCATTTGTTGTCGTCTAAAAACTTTCCCCCTCACTAGGAGACAATAATTATCTATTGTTTTCTATCATTTTGCGGCCCCTTTCATGAGTTTCTTATAACATGAGAGGGCAGACGTCTTAAGATTCTAGTAGGTAAGTGGGGGCCCTAACTGAATTTTACTATCAACCCCTTAGAAACATGAAGCATTGGATACATGTCCTTGTAGTCAAGTAAATCAAACTAAGTTTTCAATAGATGCTGGCATATTTTAAATATGTCAAGAGGATGGGAAGATCAAGGGTATGGAGAGGGGGTTTGACTTGCCTTCCTTGAGGTAAGAGGTGGTGTAAGTGATGGTTTGACTGCAGACACTGCATATTGCTTGTCATTGTAGCAAGCTGGCTTTTCTTCAGGAGAGATATTGTGTGCGCTTATAGGGTGGCTTCCCTTGCTTTTATTGCAGGGGTGTGTACGAGCTGAGGTGTGCATCTTTGAGAAGGATGCATCACAAAAGGCAAAGCAGAAGGAGGTTGAAGAGGGACACAACATCAACTTCAATGGAGGCAAATGCTGTTGCAGCCTGAGGGAATGGCAGTGTAAAAGAGCTCGCAAAGAGCCAGGCAAATCGTGTCTCCCAATTGTAATAATGTTTTCTTTTTGGTTGTCAAATAACCCTTTATTAAATCTTGTTTCTTTGTAGTTCTTAACTAGCAGGGCATTCCACTGCCACTGTTGTCATCTGTGATGTCATGAGGGTGGCGGCCACCAGCATTGCAGCCCACAGACTGGGCAGTCCCCAGGATCTCTTTAATGGTTCCAGAGAGTTCTCTAGCTAAAAATCAGTGCCGCATCTGTCTGGCAGTGTTGATAGTGTCATCAAATGTGATGTTTCCATTGTGCTTAATTTTTTCTGCTTCTTTCTGTCTCTTGGGGGTTCCTTGAGGGCTCTGATGATCAGGGCAGAGGCAGAAAGTACCACCTCAGTCTGGGCCTGTCGGTTCTGAATGGCCAGTTTCACTGTAATCCTCAGACCCTACCAGTCACCAGTTGTCTTGGCCAGGTTGTACCAATCTTTTGTGGAGACAGACCCAGGGGGCCGATCTTGGGAGCCAGGGCACATGTGGCACCGACTTCCCTACAGGTGCACCTGAGGTGTGCCACTGTGATCTCATTGGGGTCGAGCCTAGGCGGCATGGTGCAGGCGCCTGGTGTCGGATGGACCCGGATTCAGGACGACCAGAGAAAGTTGCCCCTTGGCCTCCTCTGAGCTAAAAGCCAAAAGCTCCCAATGGTAATAATTAAAGAGCCTGGGGTTGGGGGTGTTGCATGGCAGAGGAAAGTGGCAAATAGAAGCAAAAGAACAGCCTGGTTCCGATGTAAGCACTCTGACATCAGTAAACTCTTCGAATTCTTGGGCCACATACTCAGTGGAAATAAGGTTTGCACTAGCAGTGTATTCTGTTCTGTCGTTTTAATCAAATCAGTGCTTCAAAATGGAATGTGCAGAGAAACTATTATGTTGAATCAACAAATCTTTTTGTTTGGGGATGATGTCTTCCATTTGTATCACCAAGTTTTTTCCTGTTTTTATTGGCAGACTTGACATCTTCACATGCATCTTATTGTTTCCGTGGGAAGGAATTTGAGATCCACCCTCTTAAAACCTGAAAGGGTAGCTATGGTGTTTTGGTTAGTTAATTTGGCAGGCTCGAGCTCTGTGCCACAGTGTACTCTTTAGCACTCTTTGCCTGGAGGCTAAACTTTTAGAAAGAGAAGAGAGACAGATATGAAGGAGACTTAATCAGCATCACTGTGTACTTCCTAAATTCTCAGTGCTTTGTGGGTGATTAAATCCACAACCAATGTTTGGCGTCTGTGCCCAGTTCTTTTCCTGAGACTTGGACGGGCGGGAGGGGGAAATGTCATTGGAATTAAGCTCCTAGACTCTCTTGGTACTGTTGTTCATGATGATACAGATGGGTGGTGGTAAGTACAGCTCTGGAGGCAGATGACACCAGCGCTTGGCAGACCAGACAGCAGGCTGGGGAGGATGGAGTGTCTGGAGGGCTGGGTGTAGGAGCATCTTCCAAAGTCGAACTTGGAAACGTCTTGGAAACAACTTGGGGGTTTGTACTGTGATGTCATATGTTTTGTCACTTACGACCCTGATGAAGATTCAGGGAAATTACACACAGGATTCTGGGTACTAGAACCTTCCCTGTGCCTGTGGAGTTTTCGTAGGCAACTTCGGAGAGACTGTGTCCTCCCTGCACAAGGACACGGTAGGGCAGCCACAGAATCAGAGGTCCTGGGTCAGAATCTGAGCTCCGTCACATGCTAGCTGTCACTGGACCTTGAGGGAGGCCTCTAGGCCTCCGTTTTCCTAGCAGTAAAGAGGGTGCAATAATAGATTTTTTCTCGTGGCATTTTGTGACATTAAAAGGGATAATTTGGGCAAAGAACTTAGAAGAAAACCTGGCACAAAGTAGATCAGCTGTTATCTGTTGTGCAAGTGATTCCCTCAGCTTTCTCTGTGGCCAGTGAAGTATTAGAGGTCGAGGACTCTATTTTCTTTATTTTTGTATCATGTATTACAGTGCTTACTGCTTGGTCAGGGTTCAGTAAATGCTTGCAGAATCAATTGACATTAAGTATTATATATTACATGTTTTATATATTAAGTACTATATACCATACGTCCTATATTGTATATGTAATGTATATACATACAATATACTTCATGTTGTATGCTATATACCGTATGTTATATAATAAATGTGTGTCGTATGTATCATGCAATACTTAATGAAATTTAGGCAGTTAGTTATTTAATAGTAGGATTCTTGAAAAAGAATCAACATCTTTGTGTGAGCTCCGTATTTCCCTGGTTAAAGCCAGTCAGTTCTCTGATCTGGCTGAGTAATTAATCAGTTATTTTAGAAATAATTTGGTTTTATGGGTGGGAAAATTAGGATTTGGGTAGATATTTGTTGTTGAATTTTATTTTTTCCTATATATAAAAATTATTCAGGGGTCATATAATATTGCACACAGATTTCTCCTCCTTAATGTAAGATGTTAACGTCTGATGCAGTTATGGGTAGAGCTGTGTGCAGAAGTCCTTTGCATTTCTCTCCTGTGTTTCACGTGCCATGTAAAATCGGTTTTGATTTTAAAACCACGTTACTTGATAATGAGACTCACATTCTCTCCTGATTTCTGTTTCGTGATTATATTACGTTTATGTTTTCAAGCATATTCCATGTTTGTCTTGATTTTGGTGTTTATTTATCATGTTCTCTTGAAAGCGATTGTACTTGCATGTTAATTTCCATTGATTTTTCTTTTGAGCATGACTTATGTTTTATTTTGTGTTTCTTTTAGGTTTTGTTTTGTTTCATAAGATCCCACTGGATGGGTAGCTGAAGTAAAGGAAAAGACAGAGAAAGGGGCTGTGGTGCTTGTTGGTTGATGCTGCCTTGTAAGCCGGACTCTTGGGGCTGGCGCTGGCTTCTCCCGGGAAATGCCACTCATCTGGGGCTTTCTGGTAGGCGTGGGCGGTGTTTGCAGGAGTCCTGCACCAAGCCTGCAGGGCCTGAGTGTGAGTGGGGAACACCAGCGCAGAGACGGCTCACAGGCAGCTAAGCAGAAGCTCAAGGGAACATCTTGAATTAATGCTTCTCTTTGCTCTTACGATCACTCAAGTACAAAATTGAAATGAAGTGCTACCGGATTGTGCTTCTCTTCGGAAAGGTGTGCTGTTTGACCATATTGGAAATGTATTGATTTTCACTGTTTCTGTTTATTAAAGGTGAACTGCAAAGTTAAAGAAAAAGAGTTAGGGACAGTTATAAGTACACACTAAACAGTCTAATCTCCATTTAACACGAATTTTAGCACTGTTTTCTGCTATCGCTTAATCAGTACTGAATTCAGAAAGTTTCCCTTTTCCATGTAGAACACAGTGACTAAACGAGTTAAGGGCATGTCCACCATCACTGTGGGGACTTGGGGGTGTCACACTGAGGGGTTCATTGCTTCACTGGCCTTGAAGGTTCAGAGTCATGCAGTCAGCAATAATGATTTCCTTAAAGCTTATCAGCAGGCAAAAAGAAAAAGAAAAAAGAAGCTATTTGGTCAGGGGCTGTGGATTTCGTTTAGGCATAGTCGGTTTCAGAATAACGGAGAGCGTGGAATATATACATATGGTGCATATGTCCTTTCATTTGCCCTCTGCGAGCCCCCTGCTTTTTAGAAGTGTGCCGAGTGAGCAGGCCGCAGCATCTCACGCTGTTCCCATGACAGAACTGTGGCTTTTCTACTCTGAAAAGGCCTGCAAGCAGAATGGCTAGCCTGCTGGGAGCAGGAGCCGACACTCTAAGAAGGCTAGTCCCCCTACTACCTGTGCCCTCCTGCTGGGTTTTCCCGGGCAGGACAGCTCTTCCTGACCCAGGAGCACAGGGGTGGCAGGTCGCTAATGAATGTGTGCTTTGGAATGTCCGGCTTCAGTGCTGAGAGGGCAGCCTTGGCGCTGCAGAGCCTGCGTTCCTGCCTTAGTCTTACCGTGGACACCTGTGTCACGCACTTGGCCATCACAATAGCCTTTGTACACTTTGCTTAGTGTGCACCAGGCAGGTCCCTGTCCAGAAGAGAGGTTTAGCTGCCCCTGCTCCACTTCCCACCTTAGGAGAGCTTCAAAGCCAGGCTTGGAGCATTTTGTTTGAAAACACAATCCTCTCTGACTGTTAAGGGCTGCACAGAGATGCTATGGCTGAATTGGGAACTTACTGATGTTTTTAAATTTTCTTTTTTTAGGGGGCAGTGGGGAATAGTTACTCAAGTTTTGCAGTTCAGCTTTAAGGTTTTATAGATTTTTAACTAGTCCAACGTATTTGGGAACATTGTTTTGAATCCTGTGTAACCAAGGCATTAATCTTAATAAACCAGGATTCGCTTAGGCATCACTTGATATAAAAATATTATCATGATGAATATTTTTATCATGTATCTTTTACATTAGCCACTAAATATGTTATTGCTTGATGCAGACATTTCACAGTCCTATGGATTACAGCATTTGACTTGGCTGCTCTGTACTCACGCCTAATAGAAGGGCAGTTTCTCCGAAGCACAAACAGGCTGCTGTTCTCAGGAGCTGTCTTTCCAAAAGATATTTGAGTGTGAGGGCAGCTGAACCTGGATGTCAGAGGTCTGAATATTCTCTGAATTCCCATTTTCCTGCTCACTGCTGAATGACGGTTCCTGTCATGACTTAGATTTGGATCTTTCCCGAAGGTGTTGATTTACGAAAAGGCCAGCTAATTGCAGAAATCCTGAACCCTGAAAGAAAAATGAAATTCAAACCAAGAGCCAAGCAGAGGCTGTCAGGACAGCAAGGTTCTTAAATATCAGCCGTTTGGTAAAATTTTTGTTTAAGCTTTTACATTTTCCCTGGAGGCATAAAAAGGCAGTGAATTGTTTAAGGACTC